CCCGAATGAGAGAAATAAGGAGACTGCGTTAAACAGAAGACGTTGGAGTGTGCACAGAAGTGTCTGCAAGGGGCTAAATGCACCTCCTGGAAATTTCAGACAGCATAACAACCAAGGCTCTTTCTGCAATGTTAGAGGTTCGTTCAACACCGTCATCTGTAAACCCATGGATAATGTCGTGTGCAGGGTCATAAGTTAAATTCTTTTTTTAAAAGAATCTCATCGAAAATTAAGTTGCACACACGTTCAAGTGCAGCCAGACAGGCTGGCAGAAACAACAACGCGAGAAGCTCGAACCAATCGGCGCCACGAATTCACGCCGAGCATGCGAGCACGCGGGCGGTCATGCGTCACCTTGATTGATGCAAAGTCGACCGAACATGATGCAGCAGAAAGCACAGATGGACGGCACGCACGGCACAGACGAACGACGCAGGGACGAGCAGAGGCCATGCAGAATGATGCAGAGGCGATGGCCTGCAGGCAGGCAGGCCATGGCAGGCGCCATTCATCACGTGGTTTTTGTGACGTATGTGACTTTAAACTATTTGGTGGTTTTAGGTACTTTAAAAAATTTTAAAGCATTACCATTTAAAAAATAAATACTTTTCACAGAAAGAGTTTTAATTAATTTTAACCAAATTGCAGAAAAGCGCCACGTAGCGGAGGGTATGAAACGCACTATCTGGGCCGCGAATCGGCTCCTGTGTCCTCTCTTTACGTTTACTATATTACTCTATGGGCAGGCCTAGAGCACTATATAGCTCCTACGGAGCAGAGTAGCGCAATCCTTTGAACCCCGTGTTTTGCCGACAACATGGCCGACAGAGCGGCTCGGCGCGAGTCACGTGGTACTCAGGGTTCCAGGAGGCAGCCCGCCCTATGGGAGAATACATGGAGATCGACATAACACGGCTGATTAAAAAACTAACGGCGAGTTCACATTTTTCAAAACTAGCCTGTCGTGAAGTTAGTAAAGCGCTAAACACTTTATCAAAGTTTTAATAATATCGGATGCGTGTGCAAATTTTGAGAAGGCAATTTCCAAGGCAATGGCGTTTGAAGCAGACGATTTTTGCTCGCAGCGGAGATGGGCTTTTCGGGTTGGCCGGAGCGGGTCACGTGAATGGTGTGACGTCGCCGTGTCGTCTGCTGCATGATGCCGCTCAGGCAATTTTTAAAAAAAAGTTACGTCCTTGTATGGCACAAAACTTATCGCATATTATTCTAAAATGTTTCATTATTATGTCAAAAATGATTTCCATTCCGCACATCCCCACAAAACTGAAGAAACAACGATTTTCTCACGTTCTCCATGCATTTCTGACCGCAGTTGGAACCTCCGGGCGTTCGCCGCTAGTCGCCGAGAGACGGCGTTCTAGATTGCGCTACTCTGCTCCGAAGGAGGTATATAGTGCTCTAGGCAGGCCATGGCAGGCGCCATTCATCACGTGGTTTTTGTGACGTATTTTTATTTAAACTATTTAGTCAATTTAAGTACTTTAAACAATTTTGTAGCATTGCCATTTAAAAAATAAATACTTTTCACAGAAAGAGTTTTAATTAATTTTAACCAAATTGCAGAAAAGCGCCACGTAGCGGAGGGTATAGTGCGCACTATCTGGGCCGCGAATCGGCTCCTGTGTCCTCTCTTTACGTTTACTATATTACTCTATGTATCGGCTGCGTCGGCTGGTTTATACATAGTTATTATAATAAACGCTAGAGGCTCAGCTGGCGCTAGTGTCTATGGGACTTCCGGTTGCAAATTGAAGCAGACAGCATGCAGCCTACTTTTCCAGTCTTCCTGTGTATTCCTATGGGAAAACGCGCGTGAATTTTGTCTCGTCGCCGGAAAATAACATTAATGACTTTTGTTATTTCGGTTGTACCGGGTAGTATGTACCTTTATTAATATTGTAAAGTGTAATTGCTTTAGTTGCAGCGTTTTTCCTTTACCACTGAACGATGTTAAACTTCGCTATATTTCAGGCCCGAACCTCTGTTCCATGGCAGGTATGTAGAAACGAGCGACGATTTTAAGCAAAATAACGATCGAAAGGAATGCAGAGTGTGTTCAAAGTTCGCCAGCATTCCGTTGGTGCTTATATATTGCTAATATGCCTGTCCTCTCACTATATGAAAATGACCCCGTCGTGCATCTCTACGAGCGGTTAAAAAAAGCGTTCGAAACGTAAAGAATAAAGTACGTGGGCTACGAAAGGTGTGTTTTCTTATTATTTCCTATGTTGGGCAGTTTTTATCGCGCACCTGTCCTCTGGCTTCCCCCTATTTCCAAAGATTTGGAGCGTGCGGGTGATGATTTGAACACAGAACAAGATCTTCGCACATATTCACGAGCAAAAAGAATAAAGCAGTACTTATTTATTGCAAATCGGACTATATTACGTGACTTTCAACTTATTTTGATCGCCTGCAAGCACAAGGAGTTACTTAACCACTGTTACTGCGTAGTTCTTGCCGTCTCTCTTGGTTTTCCACATGTCGTTCGTTCGTTTGGCACGTATATCGCCCATGCTGGAAAGCGTCGACGCCGTGTTCGCTCTAACAGTGTCCGACAGTGCACATAAATACACGTACGAAGCGGTTTTAACACCGTTTTAATGCCGCGAATTTCAAATAAAAATGCTGTAACCGACCAATTATTTCGTCTGCATGACTGAGAAATGTTCCAATGTGCCTAGTACGTACAAATTATTCGTGATATTTGCTCTTATAATCCAGCGCAGAGAGAAAATGCACTCGCTTTTTCCCATAGAAATGCATTACCGTAAGTCAATTTCTGACTGCATGCTGTCTGCTTCAATTTGCAACAGCACACTAGCGCCAGCTGAGCCTCTAGCGTTTATTGTAATAACTCAATGGGTTTATAGTGGGCGGGTAAGTGGCTGTTGATGACGATGGGGCCCTCCACACTTGGCCGAGGATCAACTGCTCGAGTGACGAGTCTGCCGGACGTGACGAGGCGTTGCTGACAGCCGGATGGTAGCCACTTGCTCGATTTTCGTTGCTCCAGATGGTGCATGCTGTCGTGCCGTCTGAGGAAGCCAGCAACGGGAGCAAAGCGCGGAGGAGAATGAAGGAGAACATCACGAAAAAGTTGAACGGATTAGTGGCCTGCGTTGTGGCACAGCCCGAGTCCGACCTTCGACGCGCTGATTGAACACGAGCCCCGGCCGAACAATGACGCAATACTCGTGCCCAATCTCAGGCCTCGATCGATCTGACCGTGATGAAGGTGCGGAAGCCTTCTGCTTATCTAGGTGGTGTTGGATGCCGGCGGTGGCATCGGGATCGCATAACTTGTGGCTGGCGCTATTGCGCATGTCGTCCGAGGCACCCGAAGGAGTCTTCGATATTCATCGATACCGTCCTCAAGCCGCTCCTCATACAACTATTTTTTGATTCCACGTACCTTAAGTGACATTCACTGATTCAAGAAGCGTATTTCTTTTATCCGGAAACAGTTCGTCGTCTTCCACATATCTATAGCGCTGCTGCCACAATCGCGTCATTTGTACGCCTCCATTCTTCTACTCCCGTATGCGCGCACCGAAACCTGTTGTGGAGAGTGCGACCACTAAATGCGCCCGATAACACTGACATCTCTCTTGACTCCCCGTCGTTCGTGTGAATGCTTGGATCGGGGAGGGAGTCCCGCTGGTTCCGCCGGTCACTGACGTCACGCACATCCCTCCCCGAAAAGCATCCCTCGTGTGAATACCCTTTTACCAGTCCCAGATTAAAGGGACACTAACAGGATAGTTATGAGAGCCCAACTACCCAGAACACAGTTTGCGACTCGAAATTCGTTTTCATTCCACCCAAAAACGCCGATCGAGAACTGGCCGGTTTGAGTCGCGCTCACTCTCTTCTCGGTGGTCACGTGCCGCTTTCTATGGTTTAGACGCAACCACCAAAGATAAGCAAAGTCATGGGTCATCGATGAGATACGCTCAATACTAAAAATAGACAAAAAATATGATACGAAATTTTCGTGACTTCCAATAAACTGGAAAAACGTTGTCTAAAAAAAAAAAAGTTGCACTGCCACGTGATTTTTGGTAACTTTCTGCTCCTTTATATTTCTTCTTCCTCCCCTGTCAAGTTTCGGTTTCGAGACGTTGCGTATTTTGACTTTATTAAAAATATACTTGATGTTGTAGCAAAATATTGATAGGGTAATCTTCAGACACCATAATAAATTGCCTAACAAAAAAAAATATATTGAGGGGTGTTTGGGCAGGCGTTTGGGCGCGGTCGCACACCTTGAGCGTGGATTATGGCTGTGCATGGCCACTCTTCGCTTCAGAGATTCGACTGAAAAATGACCCCAAGAATAGTAGTTTTGTCGCTCGCCACCAACTTAATTCAACGCAGTCGCGTGTTCCATCAGAAAGGACCACTGGACCAAACTTGACGCACGAAGCTATCGTGTCGTCTGCTAGCAAAACCGAACGGGTTGTAACACTTTATTACGGGCTTTTGTCATCTCTACATAGCACTGGGACGACAGAAAAGGTCTTAACGTCTACATATTGAAAAGAAGCCATGCTCACAAAAATGGATTAACTTTTCATCATACACATTCTAACCTCGCATCAAGACGCCATGCATTTGTACATAACAACGGCCCTAGCATCGGTTTGACCCGAGAACAGCGCCATGTTGGGACGTCATCCCTTACCGGGTCAATGACGAAGCCCAGACACCCATTTCACTAAAGTCTCAGTCATACATTTGGTCACATCAACTATGGTAGTAGCCTTCGTTAGCGTGAAGCCCAAGTGAAGAAGAAACGAGGAGCGTAACTCACACCGCCAAACGATTCTGAACTTTATGCCTTAACTCGTTACGTCGTGTGGCGTTTTCCAAGAATCATGCTAACGCATTCCCTAAGGATCCACCAATGGATCTTCATTTATTTTTAATACCTTTTCGATACTGTCAACACATGGGCAATTACACAGGGTGGAATATCGTGCAACAAAAGTGAACAACTTTCTTCTCCATAACCGCATTTTTAGAAAAAACAAAAAAAAGGAATCTTCAATATTTTATTGCTGATTGCACGAGCACTGGCAAAGGGGAAGTGGTAGTTTGTAAAAGCTACGCGATCGCACCCCTACCTTTTACAACGCTACACATTACTCTTGACCCTCGACTGAATCTGGTGTTCTCGCGGGTGCGTGCATCTTGGTTTGTCCTTTCTGCAATGGCGGACAAAGGAAGTTCCTCAGGACATATCGGCCGTTCAGGGGCATCGGTGACCGGTAATTGTTTACCAGGTGGTGTGTCGTACCATTGTCATGGCCACGAGCCTGCACTCTGCGAAAAACGTCCATCTAGAAGAAAGGAACAAGTGTACAAATAAATTAGCGTCAGGAGAGACTGAAACCCACGATTTAGTCATTTGTGATGGATGGCACAAAGATGCTCTCCGAGCCTGGCACAAATAAAGTCACCGGATGTTCGATGCTTGTCCCGGAAGTTGGGCGTCTGCTGGTCTTCCGAGGGCATTTATACGATGTTTTGTTTCATACTTTCTTGTGCCTTTGAATGGGTTTTAATAATCCCGTTTTGAAGTAAATCTCAAGAATAGGGCATTTGAACGTAGGACATATGCACACTTGATCAACCTATAGAATCTCAAAATGTTCACATGGAATGGCTTCCATAAGTCTTCTAGGGTCTGCATACGCTCTTACTGCGCAAAAAGCAGGCTCTCTCGAGATGAAAAGAAACATTCCAGCGTCGTGGACGCTGTTTGAATCAGCGATCGGAAGGGATAGAAAGCCTGTCAAATGCTAACTTCAGGGACAAGCCGCTTACTTCCGGTGGCTTCATACCTCTTTGCTCAATGAGCCATTCAGTCCCCTAGTTGTGATCAGTGTTGTCCAAGTATGTTAGCGAATCTCAGCTAGGAGCACCTGGAGCGAAAGCTCGCGTCGCAGAACCCATGAATTTTGGGTTCAACCCCACCCTTCCCGTTTCAATCTGGATGAGCATCGTGCCTGCGTGCGGTCGTGAAATCACAACTGCTTGATGCACGTTAAAGACACCAGGCTAGCAGTCGTACTGCACTGGCTAAATTTCTCTTAGTGTAGGCCAGTTTCGCCATTCCTCAAAGGCAGTCCTACCTTATGCAAAGCCTTAACCTTGCGCTTTCTAAGCACAATCCTCTACTTTTTTTTTTTTTTTTTGCCGCTTGAAAGGAAAAGCTGCTTCCTGACTTTCTGTTTTTTTTTTTTTTTTTCTACAAGAGTGTGCGAAAGGTGAGCCCGTTAGCGAGAAATACAAAGAGGTCATGTCACAGATTGAAATTAAACAGAGTCCTTTCTTACTGAAATAAAGGTTGCTGCGCAGGCGAGCTGGTGAACAATCATAGTGGGAAAAAAACAAACAAAAAACTTTGAGACTAGGGACAAAAACTGGGACAACACCAGTGGCGTGGCGTACCAACTTGTTTCTGAATAAAAATATTGCGGTGGCTTAGTTCGGCTATGCCAGGATATACGTAGCGTGAGCTTATGTGCACAAAATGAGAGGCGCTATCAAGCGGCTCCGGTGCAGCGTCAGACTTGGCTACAGCGCAACGGAGGCGCAGAGCTGGGCACGCGGCGGCGCCAGTGCGTCTGCCGCGGCTATGACGTCACTCCTCTGGAATGCGCAGACCGGCGAGGCGCGCGCGGTGGCGGCGGCTCCGGCACGCCAGCTCTGCGCCGTGTGACGTCACTGCTCCTCACGCATGCGCAGACCGGTGAGGCGCGCCAGCTGTGCGCCGTGTGACGTCACGGCTCTCCGACAGCCACGCTAAACTGCTCAACCTCAGCCAGTGTAGCTCACGCTACAAAAAACGGTTTTATTCCGTGCGAGCGGTGCCGCCTGCCCAGGCGGCATGTTTTCCGAGGGAGGATACGATTCCAGAAGGCGACATCACACCGGACTCCGATTTTTGGTATTTCAAAAAGAAGGGCCGTAGTGCGTTCGCAATTGCGTTAAAAAACATGTCTTACGATTGCTGTTATTAAATGGTATAGAAATGCCGTCTACAAAGCTTAGGAATTTCATGATTCTTCACGTCACAAATCAAAAGAGGCGAAAAGCGGAAAAAAACGCAAAAAAAAGGTGCGCGCGCGCGTAATTTTTTTTTTGCCATGCCTTTTTTGCGTGTTTATGACTACAACTTGCATCTATTTAGACAATAAAAAATGAAAGCCGTTTACAACTCACTGTAACGCCGACTTAGAGCGCAGCTCCTGAGGAGGAGGAGCCAAGGCCACAAAGGTCACGTGACCTTCCCTGAAGTCACGTGACCTTGGTGGGGTCACGTCACCCCCAAGGTCACGTGACCCTCTCCCCAAAATCACGGGGGGGGGGGGGGTCACCTGACCTCGGGGGGGGGGGGGGGGGGTCACGTGACCTTTGGGTGTCACGTGACCTCAGAAAAAATTTTTCGCTAGATTTAGCGGGGAAATTTGCAGAATCGTAAACAGCGCAGAAATAAAATGTTAAGGACGATAATTGCGCTGTCGTTGAAAGCAACGTCTGCGAAAGAAAACAACAAGTATATGTCGCACGTCCTTTTTTTTTTCAACGAAAAGTAAGTTTTATGACAGAATGTCATAAAACTTACACTAAATTGCCGGTGTTTTCTTTTTTTTTTTTTGCGAGTATTAAACGTTATGTTTATAACGGTTACTTTTTAAATTAACATCTCCCAGCTGCAAAATACTCCTAACATCATGATTTTACCTGAGATTCGCTGACGGTGACTGGCTTTCTCAAGACTATCCAGGTGACAACTTCCGAGCAGGGTGGCGTTGTGAGCGACCCGAAATACTGGAAGCGGCCCACTTTCTTCGCTGGTAGCAGGCGTGACAGAACGACACATTCCTCAATATTTCGATGAACATTCTCTTCTGTCTGAAATTTGCTCACAGCATCCACAATCGCCTTGAAATTAGGGTTTTCTTCTTGCCCGGCCTAAAAGAGAGAAGAAATATCAGCACAAACGCACAATTTATTAGGTAGTATCTTCGCGATACAAAGGTCTGAGCGCTTAACTCTGTCGCAGTTCGGAGTTGGACTCTCCATGCCGTGACGTCACTGGAAGGCACGCGATTACAGTTCGAGCGGGCAGCCCAGAAAACCTAGTATACTTCGAGCATTTATTCTGTGCCGCCGAGGGAATGCTAAAGTAAGCGCCTAGGGCCTTCATTTCAGACCAACAAACTTTTTGTACTCAGTTGGGAACAAGTTTTGCCGGTGAAAGAGTGAACCCGTGCCCACCGCCGGCGTCGCTTTTAAACGATAGATTTATAAAGGAAGTATTCACATGACGTCCCGATTCAGTGTGTGCATGCTATTCGCCATTGCCGCGGTCAACGTTGGCTGGGCGCTTCAATTCGCTTTGACGTGCGTACGAAACCGTGCGGAGGAGCATTTCTACCTGTCGTACTTGGCGTGTGTCACGTGAATCTTGGGCCCTAACAATTTGGGTTAGCCAAACAGCTTGGGACGTCACTCTGTACATGCGAAGAATAAGGTGGCAATGTGGGCGTTTTGATTGTTTGTTTGTTTGTTTGGTGTTGTCCAGAAAAAAGGGGGATAATCGGGAGAGATGTGGGCCTCCTCTACGGGGCAAGTCGCTACCCGGCAGGGCTAGGCAGAAATACTTCGAAAAGTATATTAGAATACAAATACTGCGATACATGCATTTTAAGGCGAAAATACAGATACTGGGATACATTTGTCCTTTACCTAACGGTATATCCGTAAGGTGCGTCTGCAAGGACGGCGGAAAGGTATCTCGGAATACATACTATATACAGAAACATACAGAGATAATTTTTTCCACTCTTTGTGTTAGTTTCATGCATCTCGAACTACCTTGAACTCTTAGTCTATTCAGCTACCATCACAAGTGCCGGTAATAGGTACTATTGCCCCAATGAACAATAAAGGTGTACTGAAAGTCCGTGATTGCTTGCCATGCTTGACAAAAGCCGTCTGATCGAAATGGACTCTGTTTTTCCGGGGCCTCCGAGTCACCCAGGTTGAGGAGATCGGACAACCGAGCCACACAATACATATGAGAAAGAAAAGTCCCTGGCACAAGTTGTTTGCTATAAATGTCGGCGGTTTCTTTCTCGCCCCTCGCCTCCTTTCCAGCGTTCACTTTGTTAAAGTGGAATGAAACAAGAACTTTGCGGGATGAGCTTATTCTGCTACTCTTTCCTGTGACCTTTCACGAAACCACCCTGCCTTTTTTTCTTTCTTTAATGTTTGTGTTTGGAATATACCATTTAATCACCAGGCTTCTCCTTTGTAGAGGGGGTTATGGGGCGGGTTTATATTGTAGCGGTGCTGCCGAGGCGCGTGCGAGAACCCACCGAGGACGACGACGAAGCGCGTGCAGACGGCGCGTGACACACTTCGAATTGGGTCTGATTTGGTTATGGACGTCCTCTTGTAAATTAAAAACGTAACATTTGGTGTCGGAAGTGGGATTTCTGGCATGGCGCCTCAAGTTACCCGGAATGCCTCCTCTCGAGAAGAACATCCTCTGCAGTGTGGTCAGCGCCGGCGTCTCATGGAGCCAATGGCTGGCGGCTGGATTGTCTGACGCCGCTAATCTTCATGACGGAACCGCCACGAGCAAGTTACCACTTCACCATGTTCCCCATGACTATTTTGTGGCCGTGCAATGAAGATCCTGCGTTGGCCTATGGCCACATTAGCATCCCAAAGCTTCAAGGCACCGAGGCGCGTAAGTGCGCGCCGGACTTGAATGTTTTTTTGACTGTCGTTCTGGACATTCGGCGGATGAGATTATGAGCAGCAACGTTAACATAACGTTCCATCTTCTGGACTTTGGCCTTACCGGCGCATTTAATTTTCGGTGTTGGTTTTCAAAATGCGCAAATGTGCAGTGATGCTTTGCACCGATATGATGTGTGCCGGTATCAGAGTTCTGATGAGCCATGTCACCAGGGGTGACGAAAATAGAAGACAGTGGCGGCCAAGTGACAAGTGCCCGGGCATCAACTTCAAAAAGCGCCAATGTGCTGGATTTTGGTGTTACGGAGGAACTGTCGCGATGAGCATCGGCAACGGCACCCGGAAAAAAGAACTGTCTTTAATGGAACGTGGCGAGGTTGTTGAGCAGAACGAACCAACCTACGAAGAAACATCACTAAAAAACTCGGAGGGGAAAGAGTGTAGCGGTGCCGCCGAGGCGCGTGCGAGAACCCACCGAGGACGACGACGAAGCGCGTGCAGACGGCGCGTGACACACTTCGAATTGGGTCTGATTTGGTTATGGACGTCCTCTTGTAAATTAAAAACGTAACAATATTGTAAAGTTTCGGACTACTCGAGCCAAAAAGGTGTTTCGTTTATCCTTGGAAACTCGACATTTAATTTTTTGACAATAAAATGTAGCGAGAAAACTAAGCCTGGCAGGGTATCAAATACAAGCGCTACGTCGTAAATATATTTCTCCACTGAGATACAAATACGCCTTTCAAGTGCGTCTCGATAGAGAAATAAAAATACCAGAAATCATCTCTAAGATGCTATCTCAGGCGCGCCTTCTGCAAAGACTTAAGGATGGTTCTGAAGCCCCTGTCCGGAGTTCCGCGTGGTGCAGCTGGGAAAAGATCTTCGACGGTCGAGCAGGAAAGGCAACTAAATGCGTACTAATGGTACAGGCACTTCCGCTCGTCTGCCTTCTCCGAGCAGGAAAGCAGCACGTGTCTAATAGCTACCTTTCCTTTGCAGTATTCCTAGTGCAATTGTTGACCCTTTGAAGTTTGTGAAAAGTGGGTCGGGTGTTGGCGCGCAGTTCGACCTCAAGCGATGTAATAAGGCCGGCTCATTCCTTGAAAGCTTTGAACAAGGGTGGCGCTTTAGGCAATAAACGCCAGTGAAGAGACGTGCTCATTGTACTGCCGGATGGAGATTGTGGACGACTCTAGCCAGTGGCCTGTTCGCAAGGGTCTCATTGCCTAATATGTTAGTTTGTTCGGGCAACCACAGGAAGGCAGTTTGCTAACCGATCGTTTCAGCCCACTGATGTCTTGTAGTAGGCTGGATCACGGATCAAGGCTTGTTTTGCTGGGGTCGAATGGCACCACGGGCGGCCATTGCTTGACTATAGTGTCGTGATGTAGGCGAGTTGATTCGTGGTAACGGAAATAAACAGCGCGCAAAAAATACACAAGGACGAAAGGAAGGTGCGAATGACACTAGTCGTTCGCACCTTCTTTTCGTTTTTGTGCATTTTTTGCGCTTTGTTTATTTCCGTTACCATTGCTTGACACCAAAAATTGCAGTGAATCCAATGGGGAAACGTGAAAAAGTGAAATTTCTTTTTCTATCCTTTGTTGGCATCCAGTGGTGTTACGCCATCATGCAGGCAGCCAGAAAGGTTTGCTTAAATGTTTACTTTCATAATTTTCCTTACGAAGAATTGCAAATTGCGTTTAAGGCATAATTTTTGTTTTACCAAGCGTGAGGAACAGCATAAGCAACACATTATTTGGCTGATGTCTTGATAGAGTTGGCACGGTGAACATCATCACCATCACCATTTAATTTCCTTTAGCGCCCGCAGGGCAGGCACGTAGCCAGGGGGGTGGCCCATGGGGCCCGGCCCCCCCCCCCCCCCCTCCCGATATCTTCCATTTTGCTGGGGCCTCCTCTCCCCCCTCCCCCTCATACAACATTTTGTCATGGGCGGCCCCCCCCCCCCCCCCCCCCCCCCGAAACAAAATCCTGGCTACGTGCCTGCCGCAGGGTATTATACAGAGGGGGGGGGGGGGGGGGGTAATAAAACAAAAACTAGAACAGTGACCACGAACATCACACTGCAAGCTAGTTAGCTAGGTTAGATAGAAAGAAAATAATGAATTCAGAAAATTTAGTAGTATAATTTATAGAAACGATGTTCTGAGGTAGTGAGTTCCAATCCCCGATAGCCAATGGTAGTGTGGAAGTCTGGTAAGAGACAGTTGATGATTGAATTGGACGTAATTCACATGGATGATCTAAAAGAGGAAAAATACGGTGGGGAGGTGATAGTAATGATTCTCTGAGGCGGGTATTGTGATAAAAAATTTGATGAAGGAGATAGGCGTGACACTCGGTGGCGCAAGGGAAGTGAATGAAAATGAGCTGATTGACGTTGCCGTGTATTGTGTGCGTGTTCGCCACGCATAGCGAACACGACCCTTGGGCCAGGCAACGGCGGGCTGATGTAACCGGAGACGCCGGCGAGGGAGAGCGAGCCACGGAAAAGAACGTGACGCCTGCGCGAAAGAACAGACTGGGCGCGGTCGCAGACCGAAGAAGACGCTTCTCAACCGAATGTAATCTAGCAGTTCAATAAATATATCTTGCATTAGCCCAAATTACCGGTACATCACAGACGTTATCCTGGTATGCTGATTTAAGTTAAGTAAATTATTATAATCAAAATGGAAGGCTCTGTTTTGAACGAAATCTAGATGATCTGTGAGGTATGACTGCCATAGAGACCATACAGATGAGGCGTATTCTAACTTGAATCTTATAAAAGTAGTCGTTTTACGGAAGGTGTAGCAAGTTCGAGGTTTCGGCGAAATATCCGAGAGTACGGTTGGTACCAGCAATAACAGACGTTATGTGAGCAGTCCATCATAGGTCAGAGGTGAGATAAACACCCAGGTATTTATGAGATGAGCGGGCTGTTACTTGAGTGTTAGCAAGGTAATACGAAAATGTTGTGGCACGTGAGCTCCAGGAAAATGACAGGGATTTACATTCATTAAAGTTTAGCGTCATTTGCCATTTTTCGCACCCCTGAAAATGAGATGATATCATGGTATGAAAGAATAGGTCGGTTTATGACACCATTGTCGGCGAACAGGCCCACAAAAGAATCTATTTTATGGTGGAGATCATTAATGGTGGATTATCAACAGAAAGGGGCCGAGTACAGTTCCCTGGGGGACGCCTGGCGTTAAAATAGAGGTGGGGAATTTTACGTTGTTAACGGATGAATATTGCGTATGGTTGATTAGGAATTCAGAAATCCACTCGACGACAGAAGG